GCCGCAGTTTGTACGGCAGCCATTTCTTCTCCTTCAGAGTGAGGAGCATTTCGAGAGCGCTTCTGAATGGTGCTCGCCGTCTTTGGAGAAGCATAGCTGGACGGTTGATGCTGATTTACCTGTGTAGTAGTCGGTCTCCACTGTATTCTCTTTCGAGATTCCTCGGTCCAAGAAGAGGAGGCGGCTCGAGCGGAAGAAGGTCTGCCCCAGTTGAGACGGGCCCAGTAGCTGTTGAAGTTGTTGCTGTTGTCCCCAATGACCGCATTGGCTCTGTTGTACCGATTTGAGCTGCTGCCGGTACCTTCTTCGACCCCTCTCAGCTCGGTGCCCTCAATCTGCAGGCGCTCCTTTCCGTTGTCGCCGTTGTAGCTGTTCTCGTATCGGCTGCTGTACTGTTCATTTTCGCCATTTGCAGGGCTAATTAGCACTTGCAAGCAAGCCAAACACAGTGCCACCACGAGGAGGAACTAAAACAGAAAGAAAAGGAAAAAAATGTTTACAGATTAGGTTATTTTGAGCTTCTCTTTTTGCCACCTCTTCTTCTTCTCTTACCTTCGTTGTCCGTTGAGGTTTGCAGGCCATCATCATGTAAGCAGAGTTTAAAGTTTTAAGCGGTTATTTTAAAGTTTTAAAGTTTTTCTTTTTGTTTGGTAGTAGTAGTTTTTCTCAACACTTTTCACACTAGTCCGCCAAATCCGCTACCTGCCAGTGCTTTTATATCCTCCTCCTCTTCTTTTACCTGCCTGTCCTCTTGAGAATGTCCGGCGACGGACAATCCCCGCAATTTTGATTGCAATCATTTTGCTGCTGCTGCTGCTGCGTTTCCTTCGTCATCAGCCGCATCATTCACCGCATCATTACATTACATTCACTACGTCAGACAGGTCTCCCCCCACACCAGAACCGCTTACTTACCTGTTGTTGGAAACTTGTTTCAGTGGACAGCAGCACTGGCAATAGCACCACTGAATAGCACTTCCACTTTCGCTAAAGTGGCACCCTTCTTCAGCAGCAGCTTCACTATCATTACCAACACTTTCGACGGCATCATTTGCCATTATCATAATTGCCATCTCTTTTTCCATGTTTTTGTGGTGGTGGTGGACAAGTTTGCCGTGCATCACACACACGCTCTGATCATGTGAATCCTCTGCGTCGATTTGTCGAGAAATCATTTGAGTGAATGACCCTTTGATGCCGTCGCCACCATTAGCGGAGGGGGAACCAGTTTGGAAGAAAACATCAGCATTGTTCAAACACACTGACAAATTGCTCTCTGGCAGCTTTACCATCTCTCACTACTATTATTATCTCTTGCTAATCTCCCCACTTCTTCTTTTTCACTTGCAGAATTGCTAATGCCGCTTTTGAGCTGAACGGCCAGCGCTACCAGCTGACGGCCAACTCGGGCGCTCTCAGCCTGCACAGTGGACCGCAAGGTAACGGCTTAATTACCCCTATCTATTTGAAATCGGATACAAATTACCCCTTCTCTTCTAACTAATTCTACTTTTGTTCTTGAACTAAACTTTCCCACACACACTAGGCTTCGACAAGCGCAAGTGGAGCCTGGTCGGCGAGGAGGGGCAGTCGATTACGCTGGAGTACCGGGCGGCGGACGGCGAGTCGGGCTACCCGGGGGCGCTTCGGGTGCGCATTCACTTCACCGTCACCGATGAGGGCGAGCTGAAGTTGCAGTACTCGGCTGCCCTTGAAGAGGGTTCTTCTGGCGTTAGCACTGTGGTCAACCTCACCAACCACAGTTACTTCAACTTGAACGGCGTCAGCAGCGGCGGAGAGGCGAGCAGCATTCTCAAGCACAAGGTGAGCCATTATAATGTGAAAATATCTGCTAATCTTGCTAATTTTCTTCTTTCTCCCTCCTAAGGTGCTGATGGCCGCCGCCAACTTCTTCATTGAGGTCGATGACAGCCTGGTGCCCACCGGAAAGCTGGCCCCGGTGGCCGGGACGCTGCTCGACTTTACCGGGCAGGCGAGGACCGTCGAGGAGCGGGTTCATCAGGTAAGAGAGAGCTAGGATTTGGTGTTTTTAGAAACTAACTTGACATTCCCTCATCAGGTCAAACCCGCCGGCTACGACCACTGCTTCGTTCTCGAAGCGGACCCCGCCAAGTGGGCCATTGCTCCGGCGGAGCTAAAGCAGGCGGCGCTGGTCGTCTGGTCCCCGCTGAGCGGCATCAAACTGGAGATGGCCACCACTGAGCCCGGTTTCCAGTTCTACACCGGCTCGAAGATTATGGAGGGCCACCGGCAGAAGGCAAGCCAGGGCAAGGGCCTGGAGCCCATTATTGGGCCCTACTCGGGCTTCTGCGCCGAGGCGTCGCGCTTTCCTGACGCGCCCAACCAGTGGCCCGCGCAGGTGGTGCTCGCACCGGGGCAGCAGTACGCGCAGACCACCGTCTACAAGTTTGGCCTCGCCAGTGAGCTCTAATTGATAAAGGGCTTCTTCTACTTCTTCTACTTCAATCTAATCAAGAGCAAGCGCCCCTCTTCAGCCTTTGTCGATTTGATATGATATGAGATTTGAGATTTGAGTTGGCAATGTGATGGCGATAAAATAAACACTGCACGCGCAACCA